ATGCTCATGCTCTATTTTTAGACCACTAATTCTATTGAGACATGCTACATAAACAAAGCTTCAAATGATTCAGAATCATTGGCAACAATCTTCTTTCTGGTTCCTTCCAATTGCTCCTTCAACATTAACAATTGATTCAAATTTTGACATCCTTCCACATCTATATGCTCCACCCAATCACGGAGACCATTCCACTTTGGGGTCGATGATGATTTTGACCCCGAAGATTAGCCAGAAACATCATAGGAGGAATGAGGAGAATTCATCACTGATGTTGATATTTCAGAGCGATTACAGCTAGAAAAATGCTTTTATATAACAGAGTTAACATCTCCGTAAGTATAAGGAATGCCAGAAGGTGAAAAAACAACGGAGGTAACACGAGAACTTGTCAAGGATTCAAGTTCTTCAGCTTTTCTGAAAAGTCCTTTCTTTCTTTTTGAAAATGTCGCCAGTCTAGCCAATTTTTTTGTGATTTTCTCAATTTCTATCTTCTTTTTCCCTGTTCCCATTCTGCTTAAATTCCTTGTTCTTCAAGAAGTAAGATTTGTTTTGAAATTTGGGATACTTTTAAGGTTTGGTGAAATGTTAATTTATAGGGAGAGATTGAAAATCAGATATCTATTGAAATTTTTTCTTTTCTATATTTTGTTTCCAAAATTTTGTGGGCATATATGGAATGTAATTTAATTCTTTAGAAGGAAATCTTGACTGATCATTTATTTTGTGTCAAAGTTTGACTTGTGAATTGTGATTATATAGTAATTGAAATTTGGAAAGTAAGCAACATACCAAAAGGATCTCAAATTAGTTTATGTTTAAAAAATATGAGAAAATATCAATAATGCGCTATTTTGGTTTATAAATATATTTCATTTTATTGAAACGGTCCTTATGTGTAATAAAAGGTGTTTATTTTGGTTTCTTAATATATTTCACCTGATTCAAATTGTTCTTAATGTATAACAAAAGACGTTCATTCTGGTCCTTTAGCCTAAACCTAATATATTTATAAAATAAAATTAAAAAGTGTTAAAATTCAATTGTAAACCCCATGTAACTAACAAAATTCACCATTGTTGTCCTGTTAATTAACTCCAAAGAAAAACTTCATTAAATCTAACATCTTTGCTTCAACTTTTCGAACAAAATTTACTATTTTCTCTTGCCTAAAATTTACGGATGACATTTATAAGTAAGATCAATTTTTTGTTTATTAAAGTTTTAAGCTAGAAGAGGTCCAAGACCAATAAAAATTCATTTTGAAGTAGTGGTTTTTTTTTTATATAAACGCGTAACTGTTTTTTCGAAAGCACTTTTTTGAAAAGTCATATTAAAAAAAGTGCTTCCAAGAATAAGTCGTTTTTAGCAGCAACACAAAACATATTATTATTTATTAACAAAATCTCATCAAAATAGAAGAAAAAACATTTTTAATTTACATGAAGCATATACGATAAATCTTAATTAGAAGTCCTAATTAGTTTTTTTTTTGTGAGGGTTATTTTAGCGTTAGAATAATTATATTGACTTTTCTTTTGTGAGAGTTAAGTTAGGGTTAGGGTAATCAAATTGACATATGTGCATGTTTACACATATAACTTGTATAAGGTCTTTTTTTCAATAATTCTAATATATATATCAACACACGTTCATATCAACATACATGGACTAATTTTTCAATACATACGTCAGAATATAACACATTTCTTTGAATAGTGAACTACTTAACAGTGAAATTGAAAAGCAAAAACAAATGATATTCTCAAACGAAACATCAATATTGAAAACACAATAACGAAATGGTTGATTTATAAAATTCACTCAATGCTCATTCATATGATAAATCTAAATAATTAAAACATATAATGGAAAAAAAACTTCTAATAGTCTGCTTTTGATTCTGAACTGCATTTTAACAATAGTACAATCGATTTTATTTTATTTTAAATGCTCATGCTCTATTTTTAGACCACTAATTCTATTGAGACATGCTACATAAACAAAGCTTCAAATGATTCAGAATCATTGGCAACAATCTTCTTTCTGGTTCCTTCCAATTGCTCCTTCAACATTAACAATTGATTCAAATTTTGACATCCTTCCACATCTATATGCTCCACCCAATCACGGAGACCATTCCACTTTGGGGCGATGATGATTTTGACCCCGAAGATTCGCCAGAAACATCATAAGAGGAATGATGAGAATTCATCACTGATGTTGATATTTCTGAGCGATTACAGCTAGAAAAATGCTTCTTTATAACAGAGTTAACATCTCCGTAAGTATAAGGAATGCCAGAAGGTGAAAAAACAACGGAGGTAACACGAGAACTTGTCAAGGATTCAAGTTCTTCAGCTTTTCTGAAAAGTCCTTTCTTTCTTTTTGAAAATGTCGCCAGTCTAGCCAATTTTTTTGTGATTTTCTCAATTTCTATCTTCTTTTTCCCTGTTCCCATTCTGCTTAAATTCCTTGTTCTTCAAGAAGTAAGATTTGTTTTGAAATTTGGGATACTTTTAAGGTTTGGTGAAATGTTAATTTATAGGGAGAGATTGAAAATCAGATATCTATTAAAAAAAATCTTTTCTATATTTTGTTTCCAAAATTTTGTGGGCATATATGGAATGTAATTTATTCTTTAGAAGGAAATCTTGACTGATCATTTATTTTGTGTCAAAGTTTGACTTGTGAATTGTGATTATATAGTAATTGAAATTTGGAAAGTAAGCAATATACCAAAAGGATCTCAAATTAGTTTATGTTTAAAAAATATGAGAAAATATCAATAATGCGCTATTTTGGTTTATAAATATATTTCATTTTATTGAAATGGTCCTTATGTGTAATAAAAGGTGTTTATTTTGATTTCTTAATATATTTCACCTGATTCAAATTGTTTTTAATGTGTAACAAAATATGTTCATTCTGGTCCTTTAGCCTAAACCTAATATATTTATAAAATAAAATTAAAAAGTGTTAAACTTTAATTATAAACCCCATGTAACTAACAAAATTCACCATTGTTGTCTTGTTAATTAACTCCAAAGAAAAACTCCCTTAACTTGAAAGTTAGATTGCGATTTTTCCCCTATGGTAAATTAAAATGTAATTAAATTTTTAATAAAATATAAATATTTTAATATTAAAAAAATCAAGATCTAATTAAATGTCCAATTTGCAATAAAGAATGTGGTTAGGTGGGAATTCGGATCATATTAATGAATAATGATGAATCATAGAATTTATATGTACAACCTTTTCAAATCCTAACTTTATTAGAGGCTAAAATATACGATAAAATCTCACTAAATTAATACTCGATTAATTAATAATCTATCTAAGATAATTATTTTATCTTGTCCCGACTTGGGCCAAGGGAAAAAGTCATTCATTTCGATAAGATAATAAGATAATATATTTTCAGGAGACCCCTACATAAATATATGGATTTATTAATATTATAATTAATAATTCTTTAAAAGTACAAATATATTTAAGAAAATTTAGTGATATATGATTCTATTTTGTTCTGTGTTTTTGTAAAATTTAAATCTAGTTGAAGCTCATCTCTAATTTTTCTTATTGCATCCAAAAGTTTCGGCATTGTATTTTCTAATTGCACCATAAAATTGTGAAGAGTACTAGATGCAAGTGTTTTTACGCTTAACTGGTTCCAAAGGTATTGTATCATCTTCAACTTTATCATCAAAATTGTTTTTCCATGATATCCATAATTTGTTCTAAGCTCTGGACCTCTGAACAAGTATCATTTTCACTTATCCAATAAGTTATTAACGTCTATTTTATTGCAGTAACCGAGATCCTTAATCATGACCTCAAGTTCATGAACGACATTTTTACAAGTGGATTCTTTCAAATTCTTTGAGATTTCATGCTTGAACAATTTTTTCGGTGTTGACACAGTCTTTAAATTAATAAAAATTAATTTATCAATTAAATAATATTTCTATAAAATAATAATATTTAATGGTCTCACCTATATTAATTTAGAGAGGTCTTATGTATGTAACTATTATTTATAATATCAAACTTCTCATATTTCATCTTCCATATATATAACTGGAACTTTTTTAATTTCTCCATTAACCATTAATTTAGTCAACTCATATTTTTTAATACAAAAAAATTGCAGACTTTAAAAAGTTGCAAATAATAAAATAAAGACTAATTTATAATTATTATATATATAGAAAGGAAGTCCAAAAATCATCAAAACTGAACTATATAAAGGTTGAGAATGGTTTTCATTTCCTAAAAATGCTTTCGTAAGGTAGAAATTTATCATTTTCGTAGTTTTTCTCCTTTGTTTTTATTTATGATTTCCTTTCTTTTCTAACATTTTTTTTGCATGATACGTTTTTTTCTTTATCTATTTCTTTTGTGTTTTAAAATATGTATACTCTCTCATCATATGATGTTATATATATGTATATATATATATATATATAGTTTTTCCTATCTACTACAATAACATTAATTCTTTTTTCTTGAATTCTTTCCTTCTCCAAATTAATTGTTCTTTAATTTTGTGTGAATCTTTACTATTTGTCTTTAACATGTTGTTAAAGGTAATGATTTTAATTGAATATGTAGGGATGAAAGCAGTATACTTGCGCGGTAAATCCACAAAGATTTCAACTCGTTCCACTGCACCCTGCATTAGCTTAAACCCACACTTGCATCGCCCAATAGTTATCCTATGGATAGTTCTTTTTTGATTGCTTTTCTATACATTAGTCTTTACTTGGCATGCATACCGTTTTTATTCTTTGTATGATTAGTTTGAGTTTGTAAATATTTTTAAATTTTTTATTTTACACATTATTGACATACCATTAGTTGCTATATTGACATACGGTTGTGTATATATAGATAAACATACATTTAGTATAATGTACAAATTTATAAAGTGGTAAAGGATAAACATGCAATTCACGTTTCCAGAGACTAGTATACTACTAAACATAAAACATGTTTATGTTTGTGAAAATGAATACTTTTGGTCTAGAGTAAAAGATAAAGGAACTATTTAACTGAAGTTGAAAAAGTTAAACCTTTTGTTCTTCACGAAAAGCCTTTTGTTCTCACTCTATAAAAAATCAGCCTTCTGTATTTGAGTACTAAGTTCCGTACAACCTAATATCCATATCAACATATATGGACTAATTTTTCAGGATATACGTTAGACATATAACACATTTCTTTGAAAAGTGAACTACGTTAAAAGTGCAATTGGTTAATGAAAACAAATGATATTCATAAAAGAAACATTAAATTTGAAAATATGATAACCGAATAGTTGATTCATAAAATTCATTCATATGATAAATCTAAATAATTCAAACATAGAGAAAACTTCTAATAATCTGTTTCTATTAATACATTCTGAAATCTGAACTGCATTAATAATATTACAATTGGATTTTTTTTTTAAATAATAAATGTGCTCTTGCTTTGTTTTAGACCATCTATTCTATTGAAACATGCTAGACAAAAAAAGCTTGAAATGATTCAGAATCTTTGGAAACAATCTTCTTTGTGGTTCCTTCCAATTGCTCCTTCAACATTAACAGTTGATTCATATTTTGACATCCTTCTACATCTATATCCTCCATCCAACCGCGGAGACCATTCCCCTTCAGGGTTGATGATGATTTTGACCCCGAAGATCCGCCAGAAACATCAGATGATTCTGTGCGAATACAACAGGGAAAATGCCTCTTTATAACAGAGTTAACATCTCCATAAGTATAAGGTCTTTCTGAAGGTGAAATAATAACATAGGTACCACAAGAACTTGTCAAGAATTCAAGTTCTTCAGCTTTTCTGAAACGTCATTTACTTCTTTTCGAAAATGCCACCATTCTAGCCATTTTCTTTGTGATTTTCTCGATCTCTATCTTCATTTTCCCTGTTCCCATTCTCCTTAATTCCTTGTTCTTCAAGAAGTAAGATTTGTTTAAAATTTGGGATGTATCTAAGGTTTGGTGGAAATGTTAATTTATAGGGAGAGATTGAAAATCAAATATCTATTGAAATTATTTATTTTCTATATTTGGTTTCCGAAATTATGTGGGCATATATATGGAATGTAATTTAACTCTTTAGAAGAAAATCTTAATTTATCATTTATTTTATGTCCAAGTTTGACTTATGAATTGTGATTATATAGTAATTGAAATTTGAAAGTAATCAATATACCAAAAGGATCTCGAATTAGTTTATAAAAAAAATGAGAAAATAATCAAAATATGAGTAATGCTTTATTTTGGTCTATAATATATTATATTTTATGAGAAAACACATAAAGTCACCATTGAATTTATTCAAATTTTCAAAAAGATACATTAACTTTGTGGGCGTCCTATTACCTCACAAAAGTATTAAATACATTTGTAAATAGGTCATTTTGACCCATCTTAGCATCTATGAAGGTGTGCGTAGAGCTGTCAAAATGGGTTGGCCCAACCCAACCCAACCCAACCCTAACGGGCTAGAGAGTTAAATGGGTTGGGACGGGCTGACCCTTTTAATTAAAGGGTCAATAAAATAGCAGCTCAATTCAGCCCTAAGCGGGCCACGGGTTGGGACGGGTTGGCCCTTCAATCAAAAAACGGACAACATTTTTCTCTTAGAAAGAATACGAACGTTGATGTCAGATGGACACAACATCAATACATACATAAATTCATTCATGAATTACACATACTTCAGTGAATATTTACAAAACAAATACATAATAGC